AGTAATTTAGGAAGGATGTGCTGCCATTTACCCACTGACAACATAATGTGAACTATAGTCTTCGCTGAAAAACCTGGAAGACTCTTTCATTTAGTGTTTTCGTTTTGATTCAACAAATATTAATTGAACACTCATTATTTGGCCAATGGTGATGAGCATCCAGAAATCTGGGGATACAGAAACAGATACGATCTGATTTCTGCTCTTGAACTTGTGGTCTGGCTGGAGCATCAGACATGCAAATAAATAACTTTTAATATAATGATAGTAGGATAGCATAATGATGAGTAACTCTGGTCAAGGTAATAAACACCTGAATTAGGACAGTGAAGCGGATATTGAATGAATACAAGAAATGTTTCAGAGGTAGGATGACAGACCTTACTAATTGATAATATAGGGTGGGTTGAGGGGCTGTGAGAGAAAGTGGGAAATCCAAAATGTCCATGAAGCCTCACTTGGACAACTGAATGGATAGAGATGCAGTAAATTAACATGAGAAAGAGGAACAAAGGAGCACGACTGGGGTGGGGCTAAATAATTCCATACAGTGGGGTCTTTTGAATTTGAGGTTCCCAAGTGGGTTTGTCTAGCAGACTTGAAAATATGGATCTGGAGCAATTTTGATGTTAAAGCTAAATACTTGGGAGTCACTGATGTATGGGTATTTTTTTAAACTTTTTTTTATTGATTTATAATTATTTTACAATGTTGTCTCAAATTCCAGTATAGAGCATAGAGCACAGTTTTTCAGTTATACATGAACATATATATATTCATTGTCACATTTTTTTCTCTGTGAGCTACCGTAAGATCTTGTGTATATTTCCCTGTGCTATACAGTATAATCTTGTTTATCTATTCTACAATTTTGAAATCCCAGTCTATCTCTTCCCACCCCCTGCCCCCTTGGCAACCACAAGCCTATATTCTATGTCTGTGAGTCTATTTCTGTTTTGTATTTATGCTTTGCTTGTGTTTATTTGTTTGTTTGTTTGTTTAGATTCCACATATGAGCAATCTTATATGGTATTTTTCTTTCTCTTTCTGGCTTTCTTCATTTCGAATGACATTCTCCAGGAGCATCCATGTTGCTGCAAATGGTGTTATGTTGTCAGTTTTTATGGCTGAGTAGTATTCCATTGTATAAATATACCACTTCTTCTTTATCCAGTCATCTGTTGGTGGACATTTAGGCTGTTTCCATGTCTTGGCTATTGTAAATAGTGCTGCTATGAACATTGGGATGCAGCTGTCATCCTGAAGTAGGGTCCCTTCTGGATAAATGCCCAGGAGTGGGATTCCTGGGTCATATGAAAAGTCTATTCCTAGTCTTTTGAGGAATCTCCATACTGTTTTCCACAGTGGCTGCACCAAACTGCATTCCCACCAGCAGTGTAGGAGGGTTCCTCTTTCTCCACAGCCTCTCCAGCATTTGTCATTTGTGGACTTTTGAATGATGGTCATTCTGACTGGTATGAGGTGATACCTCATTGTAGATAAATACTTGGGAGTCACTGATGTATGGGTATTAGTTGAATTCATGGTGATAGGTGAAAGAACTCAAGAGGAGCATATGTATGAGAAGAAATACTGGCAGAAGATTGAACCTTGGAAGCAACAACATTTAAGGATTGGGCAGTGGGTAAAGAACCTCCAAATTAGGCAGAGGAAGAACAGTCAGAGATAGAAATAGAACAGCAGAGTATTCTTATGGAACATTGAGAAGAGACTGGTTTAAGAGGAAAGTAAAGGCAAATTTCAGATGATGCAGAGTTGTATTATGGAATGAAGACTTAGATTATTAACTCAAAATTGGGAGTGATGAACATGTGGATGGTTTGTAGTCATGACACTGGATGAGATTATTTGAAAATGAATATATGTATATTAAAATATAAAAGATTCACTCCTGAAACACCCTAATGTGTACTGGTCAGGAAAATGAAAAAGAATCTGCAGAAGAGACTAAGAAGGAGCAAAACAGTGAAATAGAAGGAAAACTAGTTAATTTGGTGAATAGGATATCATTGGTTGTGTCTTACCAGGAGCAGTGCTGGTAGAGTGGTGGGGATGTAAGTCAGAAATCAGCGGGCCAAATAGTAAATCAGTGATGAGGAAGCTGAAACAGTATTATATACTACATGTAAAATAAATTTGATGGTAAGTAGAAACAAAAAGATGGTAGGTCACTCAAGATTGTGTAGAATCAAGAAATGACTTTTTGTCTGATTCCTGGAATGGGGGAGACAAACATCTTTATAGGAAGAAGGGACAAAATCTGCAGATTCCATGAAAACTGTTTGTGAAAACATGGCCCAGGGAAGGCAGGAAAGGACATTTCCAGAGCACCCATTGTGCCTTGATTTGGAATGCTGAGAGAACATAAGTTCTACCCAGCAATGGATGGATTGCCATAGCTGAGATGGGGAAAGCCGGCTTCTAGCTACTTTCCATTCACTCATAGTTAGAGCGGAAGTCCTTTCTATTGAGACAGTGGGAAAAGAAGTAAGGATTGATGAAAATAGAGGTGATTTTGAGACTTAAAAAAAGAATTTTATTTATTCACTTAACAAAACTTTATTGACTGTTGACTATGTCCCATGCATGATTGTAGGTTCTGGAAGTTTGGAGTGAACCATTTTGCTATTGCCCTAATGGGACTTACATTCTAGTGAGGAGTGAAGGAGTAAATACCCGAAGGTTCTGCTGTGGCTGAAGGAGGCAGCTGGGTCGCCTGCTGAGATGGGCTTGGGTTGACTCCCAAGGAGAGTAGTCATGGTTTGTGTTAGCTGCTGAAGGGCTTTGGGAAAAGAGCCCAGCAGAGACTGGGGGCCACATGTTTGCTCAGTGGCAGATAACATGGTATGCAGAATTTCTCTTTTTTGTGCTCAACAGCCTAGAAAAAGATATGAAGAAAATGAATAACTTGGTGGCACAGGATTGAGAATTGTGAGTGTGAATATGGAAGCCTTGCAGACCAATACCCATGTGACTGACATATTCTTTTATTTAATTATACTTCACAGTTCAAATAATGTAATCTCCCAAAAAGTGTATACAAAAATATGTTTGTACTGTTTAACTGAAATCCAAGAATTCATAGGAAATGCTCATTAATATAAAGTGGTAAGGTGAATAAACTTTAATTTTTCACTTTTGCTATCATGTGGCCTCTAAGAATTATATATCTACTTTACTCCTCAATTTCCTTTTTGTAACAGTCCTTAAATTTCCTGTGTCAGCAAATGGTAACTCACCTTGCTACTTGAGCTCTTTTACTGTTTTAGTTTATTCTAGTCTACTATTTTTATTCTACTGAAATAGTTGTTTGAATTATTTATAAGGACATAACCAATATATCAAGTGGTTCAAGGCATTAGTGTTCATTTCTGGAATATAAGTGCTTTAACATCAACCCTATATCAAGTTAAACTGACATTACTATAGCTGGGGTAAAAATATATAAAAATAGATTTTTTAAAAAGTTTCTTTTGTATAGCACAGTGAACTATGTTCACTATCTTGTAATAACCTTTAATCAAAAAAATATGAAAACAAATATATATATATATACATGCATGACTGGGATATTGTGCTGTACACCAGAGATAGGCACATTGTACTTAACTGTACTTTATATATATACACACACATATATATATGTATATATATATATATATACACACACACACACACACCTTTAAGCTCATGTGTATGTTTTCTTAGAATTTAATGGGTTTAGGTTCTAAATTCTAATGAATTTATTTACTTGGCTAAGACTTTACTCCTTTCTTATTGAACCTCCCTTAAAATACAGTGTAGCATTAATTTTTTTTGCATGAAATTAAGGTATCAGTACTTGTTATTTGTCTACAACATGGAAGCAGCTCCTTCCAAATTATGTGACACTATGGGACTTAGTGTATATAACTTATGTAAAGTATAAAACTTACGTTTTTTATGAGAGTACAAATGAACAATTTTTCTTAGGCTTGGGGAAAGTAATGATTGTCTTAAGTACCTATGACACCAAAACAAAGACTTTAACTGGGCTGTGATGCTTAGAATGTTGAAGTTGAAGATAATTTTCTTCTCTCAGATCTGTTTTCTGGAGTTGAGTTATTCTGTTTATTAAGTGGTGATCTGTTCTTTCACTGAGTTTCAACTCTTTCACTATAGTGATAATGTCCTAAAAGTATCGTAGGATTTGGGGGGACTGATTTCTGCCAGTTTAACGCTAAGAATGAATTAAGCTTTTCATATGGAACATGCTATTGTTAGTTGGGCTTAGGATTTAATTAATTCTCAATTAGTATTCTTATTTTTCAGGTACTTGTGTTCTCTGTGTGCATATTTTATATAACTAGCTAGTATGAAGGGGTCTAACCTAGTGTTAGAACATTGACCATTGGCCTACATGGAGAAAGAATCAGTGTTCTTGGCCTTTTAAATCCAGTTATCAAATATTGAGAAGCTCCAATGTAGAAGGCACTGTGCCAGGCAGATACTGTGAAAGATTGATTGTTACACTTTATCGTCGTCAGTTAAACTAACCACAAGCAATCTGCAGAATGGTGTCCAGGAAGTTCTACTTTTATGAATTACAGGCAGCAGAGTAACTTCGGTTGATTTAAGAAATACCCAGCTCTGATACATCGACATAGGCCTTGTTTTACTTTGGCATTTTTCAAGTCTCATCATCCTTTTCTAGGAAACTAGAATCTTTTGATTATCAAGACTGTAGGCTACAAACTTCTCATGAATTCAGCCCTTCCAATTCTTGTCACTTAGGACATTTTAAGGGACTATTTTCATATTATCTTTAATAACTAAGTAGAATGGCATCTGTAAAAATAGGGAAAAAATTCTCATTGTTTTGACCTTTATTTTTATAACATATAGTGAGTTTCCGTTCTAATTAAGATGGAATCTCCCCCATCTCCAACATTAATACTAAAATAAAAAGTGAATTACATGTTTTTCTTATAATTTTACAGCGCTTTGAACTCCAAGATTCAAGAAGCTCTGTGCTCCCTGAGGAGGTGGTGAGAGTGGAGAGGGTGACTGAAAATCATGTCTTCCAAGCTTCTGTCACTATCCGGATTGCAGGAAAAGAGGTGACCATTAAGGTAATGAATCAAGGTTTGTACTTTTCAACATGTGTCTTGTACTACCCATTTCTATGGTCCCCTTATAAGTCTTCTATGGTTCCATAGTGTCACGTCTGTGTATGTGTATCTATGTATTCAGAATCATGTATGTTTGTAAACTGGAAAAATTCAGAAGAAACAGGGATAGTTTTTCATCAAAAACCAAAGTCAGCCTCAGGGAAATCAAATAAAGTGTTAATTAATGAAAGTATTTTCTGTTCTGAGTCCTTGGAAAGAAGTCGTCAGTGTTTTCAAACATATTTTAGCAGCGAGGGAACACTTTTCAAATAAGATCTTTGTCAGCCACGTGAAACAGTTAAAAGAGAAGCTGTTGTAGTTGAGCAGTTTTTAGAGGAGAGGAAGAATATTTGGTCTGAATGCTCCATCTGCTTGCTCTGCCTCTTACCCTTTCTTTGAGGGTCCTAAGAACCCCAACAGGTGATAAGAAACAAAGCTTGATGAATGCTGAGTTAATTAAATTGTTAGTGACTGTAGGAAAGAATAAATGCTTGCCTTCTTACATTATAACAGAGCCAACTTTTATGATAGGCTTTTAAATTTTTATATTAGATTATATTATATTAGTAATATTTATCCATGTAACTGTATTTACTCATTCATCAAACAAAACATTGATGATGTCCACCATGAGCCAGGCTCTGTATTAAAATCTTCTGAGTACCGACAGTGTACTTGTATTTTTCTCTTCGCGTGTGTTACGCCATGTAAATCCCCCAGTAACCCTGGAGATTACTTTTATTGTCTCCATTTTATAGATTAGAAAACAAATATGAAGAGGGTAATCAATTCACCCATAGTCACCAGCTAACAAATGGCACAGCTGAGACGTCTAGACAGCACACTTCCCACTAAGCTCTTCTGTCTTCTTCAGATGAATGACCTCACAGAGCTGATGGTCTAGGATAGAAGCAGATGAGTAAGGACTGCCTTGGAATGGCTGTGGGGATAGAGAAGGAAGTAATACCAGGAGTCCGGAGAAAGAGCGGAGTAGGTTTCAGAGAGGAGGCGGGGCTTGAACTAAGTCTTACAACACAGGAGTTTCCCAGTGGCCCAGGAGTGAAAAGCTGGTAGGACATTTCAGGCAGTTTGAACAGAATGTCCAGAGGCATGAGGTGTGAGCAAGTTCATTATGTGCTCCCCTTTGGTGATGGCTTTCTATTGTCATTGCCTCTCGTCCCTTCAAGTTAGCTGTCTGTGTTACCACCAGAATGATCTTTTCTAAAAACAAATCTAATTTTGCCACTTCCAAACTTGCATTTCTTTAGGGTTCATGCTGTGTGCAGTCTGATCAAGTCCAGAGTCCTCAGCAAGGCATGGAAATCCTCTTCTGATAGGTTCTCCAGGAGACATTAGTAAGGAGGAGATAGAAAATAAAAGGAAGTAGATTTGAAGGATAGAAGTAGAGTTTTTAAGAACAAGTGCTTCTGAGTGGTAAACTAAAATAAGAGTGGAAAAGGATTTGTGGACAGTGAGTTTAGAAATCAGGAGGTCTTTGGTGATTTTGGAGAAACTCAATAGACTGATTTTAAATTCTGTACTCATAACTGAAATTTGGACGAAAGCCTTCATTCTCAAGTAGTGACATTGTTATTATAAGTTGTAAATAGTGTGAAAATTACTTGATTCTTATGAAAATGTCTGACAGCATGGGGCTTTAAGTTTAGAGGGATGATTGACTTGGAAGTTTGATGCTAATGGTCATCAGATCTGTGAATGAGAAAATATGTGCTGCTCTATGGAAATATCAAAACCAGTATAGAACTGAATTAAGCAGAAAATTAGTAGGGACTTTTAAATGGAGTCATATGCTTTCATTTACTAATATTTTGAGAAAACATGTGCATGTTATATTTACTTCTCTTTAATTATAGGTGCCAGCTGGGACCAGGCCATTAAGTCAACCTTGTGCATCAGACCATTTTATACAAACTTTAAGCCATAAACAACTCCTGGCTGAAATGATGCAGTCTCACATGGTTAAGGACATATGTTTAATTGGAGGAAAAGTAAGAATGGAGGCCTTACTACAAACTTCTGTTTCCTGACTTCTGGTTGTTTGGACTTATCCCTTGAATGATCGTGTTTCCATTTGCAGGGCTGTGGAAAAACAGTCATCGCTAAGAACTTTGCAGATACCTTAGGATACAATACAGAACCTGTCATGCTGTATCAAGTAAGATGTTCATTTTTAGCACTTGACTATAAATATACATTTTGGGTCATCAGTTGAATTTATGATATTCTTAAGTTACACCTGTTCATGTTGATGTAGATAAATAACTGAAACAGCTATCAAACTGGAGTGCAATTATTATTTGGAAGTTTTCAAAGTGTTCTCTAGGCTGATGCACACAACATCTCAGGGTCTGTTTTTCAAGAGAGATTCATTTTACAGGCATGTGTACACACACACAGTACATTTAATAGTAATCTGAAAATCTAAACAAAGTGGGTTTCATCAGCAGTGGGAGATAATTAGGTATTCATTAAATAGATTATTGTTTTTTTTTATTGTAAAATATACATATGTTGTTTAGGTTTTTTTTTTTTAGTTTTTATTTATTTATTTTATTCTTTTTTTGGGGGGAGGTAATTAGGTTGGTTGGTTTGTTTGTTTATTTAGTGGGAGTACTGGGGATTGAACTGAGGACCTTGTGCATGCTAAGCTCTGAGCTATACCCTTCCCCTCATAACATGAAATTTACTGTTTTAACCACTTTTTAACTGTACAATTCACTGGCACAATTCACAGTATTGTGTAACCATCACTATTGTCTATTTCTAGAACTCTCTTTATCATCCCATATAGAAACTCTATACCCATTAAATAACTTCCCATCTTTTGCTCCCTGCAGACCCTGGTAACCTCTGTATTACTTTCTGCCCCTAAGAATTTGTCTGTTCTAGGTACTTCACATAAGTAAAATCATACACCTTTTGTCTTTTTGCCTCTAGCTTATTTTACTTAGAATGATGTTTTCAAGTTTCATCCATCTTATAGCATATACTGAATTTCATTCCTTTTTATAACTGAATAATATTTTTGTTTGTCCATTCATATGTCAATGAACATTTGACTTTTTTCCACCTTTTGGCTTGTGAAAAGTGCTATTTGAACATTGGTATACAAATATCTGTTTGAATCCCTACTTTCAGTTCTTTTGTAGGAGTGGTGTTACTGAATCATATTGCAATTCTATGTTTGACTTTTTGGGGAGCTGCTAAACTATTTTCCACATCAGCTGCACCATTTTACATTCCCACCAGCAGTGCACGAGTTCCTCCACATCCTTGTCAACACTTGTCAACAAACCTTGTCTGGGTTTGGTTTTGTTTTGTTTTGTTTTGTTTAATAATAGCCATCCTAATGGGTATGAAATAGCAACTTATTGTGGTTTTGATTTGTAATTCCCTAACGACCAATGATATTGAGCATCTTTTCTTGTGCTTATTGGCCATTTATATATCTTATTTGGAGAACTATCTTTTCAAATTCCTTGCCTATGTTTTACTTGCATTGTCTTTTTGTTGTTGAGTTTTAGGAGTTCTTTATATATTCTGGATATTAACCTATTCTCAGATATATGATTTGCGAATATTTTCTCCCATTCTGTGGGTTGTCTTCTTACTCCCTTGATAGTATCCTTTGATGCTCAAAAGGTTTTAATTTTGATGAAGTCTAATTTATCTTTTTGTTGTTGTTGACTGTGTTTTGGTGTTGTAGTCAGTAAATCATTGCCAAGTCCAATGTCATGAATTTTCCCCTATGTTTTGTTCCATGAATTTTACAATTTTAGGTCCTACATTTAGGCTTCTGACCCATTTTGAGTTAATTTTTGTATATGGTGTAAAGTAAGGATCCAACTTCATTCTTTTGCATGTGAATATCCAGTTTTCTCAGCACCATTTGTTCAAGAGAGTGTCTTTTCCCCATGAGATGGTCTTGGCATTCTGGTGAGAAATCAGTTGACCATATATGTGAGGGTGCGTTTCTGGGCTCTCTGTTTGACACCATTAGTTTGTATGTCTATTCTTGTGTCAGTTTTATACCGTTTAAATTACTATAGTTTTAAAATCAGGAAGTGTGAGACCTCCAACTTCATTTTCTGTTCCCGGATTGTTTTGGCTATTCAGGGTCCCTTGAGATTCCAAATAAGTCTAAGGACAGATTTTTCTATTTATGGGGAAAAATGCTGTTGTGACTTTAATAGAAATTGTGCTGAATCCGTAGATCATTTTGGGTCATATTGTCATCTTAATATTAAGTCTTCCATTCTGTAAACATGGATGTCTTTTCATTTATTTATGTCTTCTTTAATTCTTTTTTCCATAATGTTTCATAGTTTTCAGTGTCCAAGTCTTTCATCTCTTTGGTTCAGTGTATTCTTAAGCATTTTTGAATAGATTATTTTGGTGGCTGTACATGCTGAATATAGTGTGATAAAAAAGCAAACTTACAGCTGGTGTTTTTACGGAGTGAAATTCTCTGTCATATTTTTTTTGTAATGATATCTCCTAAGACATTTTTATCCTGCTTTGGATTTCTATATATTAGTGTTTGGCTGGTTATGGTATCTTTTTATTCATAGTAAAGTCTCTGTTTTTTATTCTTTGAACAATTTTGGAAAGGGACATGATATTATTTACTTACATTTTTAGGAAGCATTTTGTGTTTTTAGTTTATTCTTTTGTTGAACTTCTTTAGTATTACTGACACTGAATATATTTATATTAAAAATGTTCCTATTTTTGAAAAATGACATTTAAATCAATTTCTTATTGTGACCTTATCACAGAAAATTTTGTTAACAGCTCATATTTCAGATGATTCTGTTGAGAAGATTTGTTTCACGCTGCTTTAAGGTACTTTGTACCTATTGGTTGAATTGGCCAGAGTTAGAAGAAATTGCAATCGTATGGTACTGATAACTTTTGGACATAAGCACAAAATTTATTGTAAAAGATATGTTAGAATTCTCCCTGAAGTTAATTTTTTTTCCTTATTCTGGGTAGCTTAACTCATTCAGAACACCATGGTACCATTCTGGATTTTGAGTTATATTGTAAAGAACTTTGGAAACAAAAGAGAAAGCATGCTGCCTTGGTACAAAACTATAGTGGATCTATACCTCCTATTTTGTACAGTTTTCATTATCATGTTTCTAGAGATACAGGTAAAGATAGGTATGTAAAGAAGGAGGTAAAGGTAGTTAAGATAATTAACTGATTAAAGACTTAAAAGATTCAAATATTTACTAGGAAATACCCCATGATTTTAAAAGGTGAAGTTTATGAAGAAGCACATGATCCAAGTTTATGCAATCATGAAGAATATAAATTAAAGTGAAGAGACAAACCAGTAATAATACCCTGAATCTTGAGCAAGAAACAGGCAGGGGAAAGAAAATAAATTTCTGTATTATATAGCAGGTGCTAAGTCTTGGAACCCACTGAAAATGTATTTTGAAGTGAGTTTTATGAACTGATTCTAGGTCTACTGGATTTTTTAAGGAAAACAAGAAAATTGGCAGGGGAGGGGAGTATATGTTTAACTTAATTCATGGAAGATGCAATGAAGAATACACTTCCCTATTACAAAATCACCCTCTTGGTGATGGTTCGCTCAACATGCTCGTTCTTTTCCATAGCTCATGTTAGAAGTGACCATTCTATCATCTCACCAACCCGTTAACCATCGACTTTCTAGTTTCCCTTGAAAATACTTTTCTACCAAATAATGGGGAGAAAAAAACCCAAAATCATCAATATAATTGTAAAACAAGTTAAATTTTATTATACATATCTTACATACCACTTAACAAATCAAAGATAAATATAAGCATAATTTACTTTCCCAGGTGCCATTGCTTTGAAATCATATGGAGAAGATCTTTTGAGGACAATATTTCTTCTCTCTTTGACTCTATCCCAATTTATTAATAGTATCATTTCTTAAATTATACACATTATTATTTTTACATTAAAATAAAAACTCTCATTCTGATGGAAACTGGCAATAATTTGTGCTTCATCAGTTTTTCCAGAGAGTACCATTTCTATGTCAGATTTTTGTAGTCAGTTTATGGTGATTTTTACACTGTAGTGGTAAATTTTCCTACAAATATATGCTTGAGCTGTGAGAATTTTGGCCACCTCATCCTGCTATCCATTAAAAGAAGAATCAAACAAGGGGAATATGTATCTAACTATCAATTCAGATCCACTGGAAAACTACCCAAAATATCCTGCCATTGAAAATATTATCTTTATGTGTGAAAGAATTAGCCTAAGAGGCTGAGAACAGATTTTCTTATGTATTTTCAGAGAGTGACAGTAAGCTCACAAAAATATTATTTTAGTTTTGTTTTTTTTTGTTTTTTTTGTTTTTTTTTTTTACTTCTACTGGAAATCATTCTCTTCTAGTTTCTGCCACAGGATAAGGTCACTTAGTCATATCTTATTAATCTTCTCTTTGAAAAACAGAAGTGATGATAATTGAAAGGCACATAAGTTTCCCATGAAAATATTTTGCCCAACCTCTCCTCAGCATACACACTCTCCACTTGTAGATGTCTTGCAAGGGTTAGGAACACTGGTACAGAGATAAACAAACTAATTGCATATTCTGAAAGTACCTTCTCCAATTTTGCTTTTCTGCTCATTAATCTTTAGAGAAATGTCTGGGAGGGAAACTGGTTTCTGAAGTATAGATTTCAGAAAGGAAAAGAGAGAAATATAATAATGGTAACGTGTTTTGTAGGTGAGTTTGTTTCTTTCTCTCTCCATGTGGCTTCTTTCCATGAACTGGATCAAAGCATATATTAGGCACTGTACTGACATTTGCAGATTTTGTGTTCATCAGTTGGTTTTGGTAGGAACCAAGCTCCTGGGATTAGATATAAGACTTTTTTTTGCTTACAGTTTCATATTTATTAGTAGTGCTTATTGATTTCTTTGGAACAGAGGAACTAATTTAATAGACTTTAAAAATGGATTTGGGTTTTATAATAATATAGTCCATATTAAGGAAAAACTTTCAGAAGTTTGACCTGACATAGAGAATTTAGTGGGAATGTGTAACCCAACATCTGTTTTGCTGAAAGACATAGAGATTTCCCTGTTACTTGCACATGTATAAAGCTACACTTAATCTGTGGGTTTTTGCCTTATTTT